TTGAATGTGTCATTACTTCTTTCATTCCAAAATTTTCTTTTTATCAGCGACGAATTGATAAGCTCTTTGAATGCTTTAAATTTTTTTCACGAATTTCTCATTATTATTAAGTTTTGTTGGTTTGGTTGTTGAAATTTTTGAACAATTTTTCCGAGAAGGGAACAATACTCAATAAAATACAAATAGTTTAAATAATATAAAATTAAATTTTGGGAAATTTTGTTTTTAGAATAAATTTTTATCAAATATTTTGAAGATCTTAAATACATATCAGTTTTTGAAAACTTCTCTTAGTTACGTTTATTTGAGGAGAGGCAATAAAATTCGGCAAAAGTAAAAAACATAAGTTGAAGGTTAACAACTTTAATTTGTTTTAAAAGGCAGCCAATGTAGTGACAATTGTTTTATTAAGGAGAACTGTTAATGAATAATTTCATAACAATCTTTCGACGATGAAAAAATAATTTGTTGAGTAGTTATTCTAGTGAACAGAAAATGTGAATTTGAATAGGATCAATTGCACAATTAGAATTTTATAAGAGTTAAATTTAGAGTGCAAACAAACCCTTTCTAAATTGCTCCGTTTCCCTTCTTCAACTTCAATTTTTCTTCATTTCCCATATCTTATCCATTAGGCGATAAATATTTCACTACTTTTCCAAATAATACGTACTGAAGATAAAAGTCCCTACATGAAGTAATTCTTATATAAACAATAAGTTGCATATAATAAATGTAATTTAGTAATTTTAAGTTCCGTTTTAATTTACCTATTACTGAAATATTTAATTAAGTATCCCAAAATTCTCTTACAAACCAATGAAATGTTGCAAAATTTGGGTATAAATTACTTTTATCATTTAATTCATAACATTCCGATAAAACATTTTACTACATCTTTTACTATTCAATCTTCAACGGTTTATATGCTTAAGATGAAGACATATGAAGAAAGGTTCATTCCTTTTCTAATCGAGAATTGGAGAGAAAAGAAAAGATTGATAGTAAAGAGAGATGATGATAAGAGAAAAGGGATGTGAAAGAAATTTCAAATTTACTTTTTCAAAATACCGTAATCTAAAATGGCTCCTTCCGAAAGCTTACGCTATGAATTCATCATATAAATTACACTTCATATCCATCAGAAATCTGACACTTATGATCTTTCTTTTCATCATATCTTGCAATGTAAGAAATTTATTTTAGATAAACTTCTATAAATCGCAATATATTCTTTCAACAACTAATTACCCGATTCTTTTGCAATTGTTTAATATCGAGATTTTTAAAGTGCTTTAGTACTTTCTTGATTCCTAACCATCGCCTTTTTTTCATTCTTTTGCTGTCAGTAGGTGTATGAATCAGACATGCTACGTAGTAGGATGTAATAAGCACCTGCAGAGTATTTAATTAAAAATTTGATTATTAGGTTATCTAATGATTTTCTTTCATGGTGTAATAATATCTTTTTAAAGATGGCTTGCGCTTTTTTTTGTTAGTATTCATACGACAATATTTTCTCAGATTGCTCAAAAATCGGAAAATACGCTTGACATGCCTTTTCAATACTTGATTATTACTATCCTTAGTAAATATGTCCTGTACCTGACAATAAATTTTAACAACAAATCACATTTTTTGATTTTCAAAACATTGAAGAATTTGAAAACCGGCTACCTCTTGCAAAGAATTATTTTTAACAAATGAATTATTATTTTTAAAAATTCGAAAACTCATTACCAGAAAAGAATGCTGCAATTAACATTGTTAAATAGTCTACTCAGAAATTTAAGGAAATGTAAAACATTGGAAGCATAATATAAGTAAAGTACTTTTTCGGCTTCACCGTTTTAAAATTCTTCTTAAAAAATTTCTATTTTCCTCTTTTACTTTGAAGTTCTAAAATTTTGACCAATCAAAAACCAAATGCTTTTTTTCTGGAATTATTCCACAGCACTGGTCATTTTAAATTGATAAATTAATGATATAAAGCACAAAGCACTGAAAAACTAATAAACATATCGCAAGTTACAGCATAGCATATGATTGATAATAATTTCGATTGGTGAAGAGAAAGGATATGAATAATATATGCGGTACAATTCGCCAAATAAAACATTTTATAATTTGTTGAAATAGGAAATTTTCCTCATTGTGACCTATCAAATGGTAATTTTTTTAAAATCTTTCTTCAAATATATAATAAAAATCATAAAATTTGACATTAATCCATGATTTTTTAAAAGAGAAATTTTATAAAATTTTAATTTCTTTAAAAATTTGATAGTTTTTTTTTTGACAAAAATATAAATTATTAATTGCATTAGGAAAAGATTAAATTAACTCAATACAATGCAACGAACAATTATCCATCCCATTTCAAAACTTTTTTTAATTTCATACGAAAGGAAAATATTAATTGAAGAGTATATTAGACGATTTATTATTATTATTATTATTTTATAATTTTAGGGTTGTGCCAGGATGTGTGAGCCGTCTGTCATTCAATGAAAAATTCGTTAAGTTATGAAAGCGGAACGATACGCCCTTTGAGAATCTTTTTTTTTTTAGAAAGAAGAAAGTTCTTTTCCCAATACAGTTTATTATCAAAAAATATTTGTGCACATGAGCACAAATGATGAATTGATGGCAGTAGTGAGACCGACGATCGCGACAAATGAAATATTTAATTTCAAAAATTTTTTTCTATATTTATGGCCAAGAAATACAGTAAAATTTTCAATTGCAAATTTACCCATTAAATTTCAAAATTCTTTAATATCTGTAAAATATATTCTCATATCGGATACAATAGAACTTTACTCATAAACGATAATTTAATTTTATTTTTCTTCAAAATAAAAAAAAAAAGAAAGAAATCTTCCTAGTGGAATTGCAGAATAAATTGAATCACAGTTTAGCATTCACAATGTTCGAAGAATTTTATGATAAAATAATCGGCCAGATGAAAATATGACATCCATTAAATTATGTCATTGTTTCGTCACTGAGGTTTACAACTAAACATTTTGTTAAACGATGAAAAATTTTCAGCGTTCATTGGTAATATACAGTAAAAAACAGAAAAAAAGCGACACACAAACATACACTTTTTTCTGATGACCGCGGTTTGCCATTAATGTGTCATGTAATCTGTGAATAAAAATTTCGTTCTGAGTCCAGTTCCTGTTCCTTTCTTTCCTTTCTTTATTTTTACAGTAACAGCAATCGAAGATTCCGTGAATCATTTTTTTATTCATGCAAACTTCGATACATTTATGAATTTAAAATATTTAGAGAAAGCTTAACTTTTAATGAAGGAAATGAATTAAGGAAAATGGGTTAATCATTTCTAGAACAAGCTTCCTGCATGGAAAGAATCCATACATGATTATATCTGATATGAAATCGTATTATTGATAGATGGTGATATCTGAGAAATATTCTAGAAATTATGATTAACAAGACGGGAAGATCAGGATATGATAAATACCTCAAGAGTTTTCTACCTCATTTTTACAATTTTATTGCTGAAATTAAGAGTAAAAGTAAGTAGTAAGTGTAACGTATAATTAATGAATTGTTAACAAATTGTTAAATAGCACAATTAAAGAAATTATTTAAGTATGTAAAACTTTTAAAAAAGTACGGTTGAACTGCAGAAGAAATAAACTAATGGATCGGATTGAAAAAGTACTATACTATCAAAAAAAAGTGCAATTCAAGGACAATTCAACTCAGTGATAGGACAGTTCATTCAGGAACATTTCAACAACGGATATGCGGCAAAAGAACGGACTGAAATAAATAGCAATCACAAATGCAAGTTGATGCAACAACCTACTTCGAAAGAAACTTCTGAACAACTGAATGTCAAGTTCGAATCAATAAATTCCTAAACACTGAATTTTACATTTCTATAAAATTTTTGTTTAGCAAAAGTAAAAGAATTTATAACAATGAAATAGATGGAATATTATAATGTTAATTTATGATAACCAAATAAAAGAGACTGTTTGGTTATTGAACCAGGAGAGTTTCCAATCATTCATTTAATCTCAATCCACCCACTGCCATAAGTGAGTCTATCACAATGTTACAAACGAATGCATTAAAGAAATTGATTTGAAAATTTCAATACATCCATTTGTTGTCATTCTGGTACTTATTTATTTGTATTCTGTGATAAATCTTCAGTTAAGTACAAGATATAAAGAATGAGTAATTAATTCTATTTCTGAATTCTGCTCATTCCCATCTCTTATTTTTACCGCTAAATGACAGAATTCGAATTTTACGTCCGAACTAAAATGAATCTGATTTGTTGTTACAGCTAGAAATGTAACTATCAGCACTTTATTCTTCCAATAAAATGTTTCTATCAGAAAGATTGACTGCCATCAATAACAACAACTTTAACAATGGACTTCAATTTGAGTGACGGGTGACGGGTGGAAAAGGGTGCGTTTGTGTAAATATACCCGCGTGTACGTATATGTATGCGTGTAGCTTATATATATGTGCATGTGTGTGTCTGCAAAGAAAACAATTAGTTGAAATAAAATGGAGAGACGTCTTTGCTGCGGAAAATCTGTGCGGTAAGTAATGAGGAAGTCTCGTCAGTAGATGGTAATGATGGTTGCAAAACCGATGTCACGATTGGTGGCAGTGTGTGTAGGATATGCCTGCAGGGGATTACTGCGTGTGCCTTGCGATGGTATTCACCTCACCTGCGCTATCTCGTACTTCTCATCATCTTTCGTGTGATCTTTGTAATTGCCATTGAACAACCAGTTGGTGGATTGCGAAGAATGTAAAAAAGCAAGAAGTACTGATTGAATCAGGGCGTGCTCGTTGAGAAACGAGTTCCTGAAGCGCAGTAGGGCTCACCATATATAAAGGAGTAGGAGGACCACAACAACAAATACTATCGAAGCCTGTAACTCCTACTGCCAGAAGAGAAAGGAAGAGAGAAGGATACAACAATAACGATTTGGGGTATGGATCTAGAAAGTCGCATCAAGGCATATCGCTTCGTGGCCTATTCGGCGGTCACGTTTTCCGTCGTTGCTGTACTATCTGTTTGCGTGACTTTACCTATGGTTTACAACTATGTCCATCATGTACGCCGGCAAATGCACAACGAAATAACGTTTTGCAGGGTAAACGCTTTCTTTGTTCCCATTTGATCCAGAAAGTGATCTTTTATGATTGCTAGAATGATAGCTGTATGATAAAATTGAACTCTTTTTAAAGATCTTTTCATTCTTTCATTCATTCTCTTCATCTAACCTTTTTTGGGCTTTCAGTGTTTTAATTTAATATGCTTATTAAAAATATTTAATAATTGAATAATACAAAACAAAGTTGAAGAAAGGAAATTACTGTTGCCTATATTAGTGGGATAACAGAAAAAAATCAATAAGGTATATTTTTTTTGTTGGAATGTGTGGGAAGTTATTTTTCTTGATGAAATCGATCAAAAGGATTCTAATAGATGGATATTTTCTTTGAGCTACTCTACTATTACATTAAATGATATGGTCGAAATGCTGGCTGGCATGTTACTAATCCTTTCTCTAAAATCTATATCAGCATAAAATCGTGCCACTATTGGAATATGTAGTTGTACATACTAAATGACTGCATATTTTGTTCGGTTTTTCGAGTTATGCGAAAAGAAGTGTTACGACTTATGAAAAAAATGTCCCTTGGAATAAGTTTTGGTTGAGTGAATTCAGTTTCTTTTCCCATACTTTCCCTTTTTCGGAAACTAACATTCGTCACTTCATGCGCTGAAATCATCCGCTTTGTAACTTGTTTGTGAAGTGGTAAATATATTAGATCGGTACAACAGAGACAAATTTTTGCTCCACACCCTTTTTCGTAACGTATTCGTTTTTCTTTTCATGTCTGTACTCTCTAGATTCACTTTTTCGACCTTGAATAACAGGAAGCGTCTTTCACCAGAGATGTGTGAGTGTCACGTTTAGAATTGTACAATTTTTACAACATAAAAAAATGATTTTGCAGTTCAGACGCTCCTTTTTCTTATTGAACAAATAAAAGTAAATTTTACTCCTTTTATGTTCAACGGGAAAATTTTCAGGGATCAGCAAAAGATATCTGGGCAGAAGTACACGAGCTAAAGAACATTCCTGTTACAAAGAATCGTACAGCCCGTCAAGCTGGTTACGGAGGTGGCGATGTCGGTGTTAGCGGTGGTCAGTCATCGCAAGGAGGAGGAGGAGGTTCTTGCGATGCATGTTGCTTACCAGGAGCAGCGGGACCACCAGGTCCACCCGGCAAACCTGGTAAACCAGGCAAACCTGGAGCTCCCGGCTTACCCGGCAATCCTGGTAGACCACCAAGTCAACCTTGTGAACCGATAACACCACCGCCATGCAAGCCCTGTCCATCAGGACCACCTGGACCACCCGGACCTCCTGGACCACCTGGAGATGCTGGTCAACCAGGGGCACCAGGCCGACCTGGAGCAGATGCACCACCAGGTGAGCCTGGACCGAAAGGACCGCCAGGACCAGCCGGAGAACCTGGACCACCAGGACCACCAGGAGATGCTGGAACACCTGCGCCAAGTGAACCTACGGTTCCCGGAGAACCTGGACCTCCTGGTTAGTTTTTTTTTCATTTTCATATGCTTCAGAAGGCAGTGTAAAAACGCATGTTAGCACAATATTTATTTATGTGCAATGATGTTTATCTACATATCCCAGAGAATATACTTCAATATTCACTTCAAGCAAATAGTTTCAATAAATGATGCTTCAGGAGAACCAGGACCACAAGGAGCACCTGGGCCACCAGGCCGGCCAGGTAGCGATGGTACACCAGGTCCAGCCGGTCCGAAAGGACCACCAGGACCCAATGGTCAACCAGGGTCAGATGGCGCACCGGGACAACCGGGACCACCAGGGCCACCAGGAACCCAGGGTGAAAAAGGAATTTGTCCGAAATATTGTGCCATTGATGGTGGTGTATTTTTCGAAGACGGTACTCGCCGTTAAGTGGACTGCTAGAATGTATCATTCGAAGTCTCATCCTTCTTACTTCAGACTGCCATTTTGCCAATTTATCATCTAGCTATATCAACAACAACGAAATAAATTTTCGCGTTATGTTTGTTTTACGTTTGCAATATATGGGAACAAGATAAGAAGCAACAAGTGTATTAAGCGGCGGTGTGAATGAATTAACGATTAAAGAATAGCATGATCAGGCAATATGCTCGGGGAGGGTTATTGATGGAATGCTTCAATTGTGAATCGATAGAACCATTTTACTACTTAGAAACTATTTTAAAGTTGAAAACAATTCTGCAATGAAAACGCCTCAACTTCTTTCCATAAGTTAAGCTATGAAACATGAAACCATCGTAAATTGTGTAGTTTGACAACTTTTTATTATAATTACAAAATCAGTGTGATTTTGAAAACATTAAAAATCAATGAAAACATCAACAAGCAACTCTATTCGAATGCATGTTAAAATGCCTATTTTCAGAAAGTCAAAAATAAACTTTACGACAAAATTAATGCGAAAAAAGTCCATTCGCCAATGGAAAAAGAATTTTTGTAAGAAGATTATTTTATAGTGGCTAATGTCATCGTATTTTTTTGTTATAACAACTCAATATTTCCGATTTCTGTGAACTACCAAATAACCAAACTCGTTAGAGTATTGTTTCTAATGAAAGAAATGTACTGTTATGCCTGTCCTGGGACCCTTGCATGTCATTAAGTAATATGATTGCAACTCGCAATTTCTATCTAATCCTTTAAACCACGACCCACAATACTCTCGACGACATAAACATGAGACTAATTATCTGTGATGGTGTAAAACTCCGCAATTGTCAAATGAGACAAGTAGATACGAACAATAGAAATCTGGCAGCGCTATAATGAGAATTTGTTAGAGCGAAATATTGAATGATACATCATACCAAGTCTAAACATTTTTGGGACTCCTCTGTGCATGTGAAAGAATTGCTGAAACATAGAAATAGTTTGCAATGAAGAGCAGAAAATCCCTTGTCCTTTTATCTACGTGGGATGATCAGTTACACACTACCACCATCTCGCGAAACACCGTATCCTTCCGAAAACAAAAATTACATACCCGACACAATTCAAAAATTGTTTTTCTCACATATGCTTTAAACAACTAGCTATCATATTAATCAAACAAAATATCATGATAAGAGTTAAGCTTTTGAGATAGGACCGCGGTATGAATCATGCTAGTAACATTGGAAATCCTTATTCTCATGATCCTAGCACACTGTTCTTGGCACATAACACTTTTGTATTAAATCAAATTCTGCTAACATCATTATGCAGTACAATAAAAACCATATAAAAAAGGTGAGAACTACATACATTCGCCCAAAATTTTAAAGGGAAACAGTCCCCTTTAAAATCGATCAGTTTGTTATTTCAGATTAGATTTTTAGGGAAAAAAGTCATGGTTGTTAATAAATTTAGCGTGTTCAGGCTAACATACACTGCAACTCCCACGAAGCAAAATATTAAACAATAAAATATGATTAAAATAATGACATATATAGGAAAAATAGCTTTAAAATAAAGCGCGAGATATGTAAAGATAGACCATCAATACTTTGTAAATTAAAATAATCACAATTTCCTAAATAGAAAGAACAATAATCAAATAAAAAATCTTATGAAAAGTGGACATAAAAAAGGCTTGCACAATGAAATCGAAGAGAGCAATAGTTTAGATGACCACTAGAAACCACATTTGAAAAGAAAGTATCTTGAGCAGTTACAAACGAAAATGAATTGAAAAGAACGTTGGGCAAGCAAACGAAAATTCAAGTTTTCGTTTCGTACTAAAAGTAGTTCATATACAACCAATTTCTGGATTACTACACAGTAAGCGGACAGCATCATCGGAAGCTATAAAAATTTATCGCGAGATCCACCTTACCAGTAGTACATGGGATATCAAAAAATCAATGATGATCATTTCTTTTCACATGGATATAACCCGGCAATAAAGGGTTCTTACGCGAACAAACCGATGATGTCTTCCTATAAATGGATCTTACTGTTAACAGCGAATTTTGAACGGCGATCCTACTTTATCATAAGAAACTTCACTTTAAAAATGATGTTTCTGAATTTAATCTAGTAATATTAACGTCGGCGTGAAATAGACAGTAGAAACAATAAACACCCTTATGGCCTAGAAATGATGAGCAAAATCAGAAAACTGAAAATTTTACATAGATAGCATGAAGAATTTTTACTGACTGCATAGGCGTGCTCTTCGGAGTGCTCTGCCAGTCACTGTAGATACAAAAAAAGTGAATTTTTTTAATGCCTCGAAACGGCGCTGGATATTATTAATCGACATAAACGATATAATCCATATTAACTGTGTTCAACTATAACTGCAAGACACATTTCTTGATTACAAAAAAACCGGGCGCAATCTAATACAATGAAAAATACACAATAATAGAATAAAAACAACTCCTTCGGTTAAACGGATAAAATACGTGAAATAGATTCACGTAAAACTGTGAATGGGATCATTAGGGCCTGGAATCTGACTCAGAACACGATCGAGCTTTTGCAAAGGTATGGCTAAATGAATTTCCACCCAGCAGGGCGTTGACGTTATCGTCTGTCGCTTGTATTGCTCACCCCATCCTTTCACAAAACTTATTCGCATATGGCACATTCTCTGAAAAAAAACATTGTGTAATGTTTTATAACTACTGTCCAGATTAACAGAACCAACTGCTCCAGCTTTTATTTTAAGATAGTTAAGTAACAAAAAAAAATCAACATCAGCAATCTATTTTGTTCCCATGACTTATACTAACAATAATAATTTTAACCACAAAATAAAACAAACCTGTAGGGAATATACGGCATGGAAACCTTGGCCCGTTGACTGAGCTAACAAAGTTTCAAATGATTCGTTATCAAAAACTTGCATAATGTGTCCTAAAAATGATTACATGAGCGTTACGACCATGCATCTTAGAGCAATAGAGCACTGTAGAAATGAGAACCAGCGAGATGTTCAGTTATTAAAGATACCATCACCTATCACATCCCTCGAAAATGACTACGTTAGGAACCTCGAATAATTCTGAACTATTAAATACATGAAAGTTTCATTTTTACCTGATGGTAGTCTATAAACGGTAGCTGGATGATCATGAGATTTCACGGCGTGTATGGGACTCTGAATGAACACTGGTGCTTCACTCAGACATTCTGCGTAAACGTCTTCATCTTGACGAAAAATCCTAACACCACGTCCTGAAATAACAAATTACAGTTGTCCTTTTCGAATTCAAAATCAACTACAAATCAACTCCTTACGTTTAAAAGTCCAGAATCAGAGTTAATTGAAAGAGCAAATGCCTACCAATCTGACGTCTAGCATTCACGACTCCAGGATTTCTATTAACGTTAGCCAAAGCTCCCAAACAGAATCTCTCTGCTTCGGATGGTGCGCAAAAACCGTCAACAATGACATGAGAAGTACCGCCTTTGAAGGGTTCACCGATCTAAATTCAACTTTTGTGTTCGCTTTTCAAGGACTGAAAGCTATATGAATGTGAAAATCAATAGCCTTAATCATTGGAGTTTCATTTTCAAATGGAAGACTTTCCGCTAGGACGGATAAAAGCAATATCATAAAACGAACTCGTTGATTAAGTTCATAATAATAAGCATGACACCATGCTTCCGGTACTGGTGCTGTGGGTGGATAATCTTTCACATTGATTGCAATATCCGATGGCTGAAACTGAATAATTTTGATTGTTTAAAAATAATTAATTCTTTGAAAGAGATGAACAAAGATGAATCTTATAAACAATATATAAAAACAAATACACAACATATAGAAACATTTTTACCTTGGGTCGAATATGAGGTTGTATCCGCGGTCTCTGACTTCTCATATACAGTATCTGAGCAAGGCAATTTTGACTATTACCGGATGCAGAAGCATTATGAGGTTGCACTGAATAACTTGGATCTAAACAATAGCTTTGTACGAATGAAGTCCACAAAGTAGTTCGCGTTTGACAATAGTTTAAATAGTGACTGAAACCTCACTAGCAAATGGAAACATTCAACTGTTTGAAAGGTTATAATGTGAGTCCATGTACATTCTTCGCGTATATAATGTCCTAGTAGTAGAAGTCACAGATACACAGCATTGAATGATCGAAGATCTTAGTAACCTAAGTTCAAAAAGTATAGCACCAATCTAATATTTGAAAACAATACACCATACTTCCACTTATCGATGGTATTTGTTGTGTGGCGTATGTGACTGTTGACGTACACGCTGAACGGCCTTGTACAGCATCTCTTTCTTGCTGCTGTAACTAACATAAAGTATAAAAAAGATTACAAACAATAAAGTTCACTGGACAGACAGCAAATATTTCAGAAACTTACATCTTGCATGAGTGTGCTCAATTCTTGCAGTGTCTGATTAGAACACCCAGATGCAGTATTGGCAGTGCAGTTCAGTAGCTGGTTGTTGGCACCAAAATAATAAACTGAGCCCATCGTTCCAGGTTCAACTTTCGTCTGAGCATTGGCAGTTGTTTCACCTGGAAGTGTCACTGATACTTTTCAGCACTTCACGGTATAAAAAAGTTCGCCCGCTCTTCCACTAACGTTAAAAATTCTGATGAAAAATGAATTTCAATTCTTCTATGTATCTACAAAGCAGTTTACCTATTTGTTCCTGATAATCCATTGGAGTAGACGATGAATGCTGTCCCGAATCTCCTACTTCAACTGTAGTAAGCAGATGCCAAGTCTGTTGGGGTGAAATTGTTTTGTTCGAGTAGCAGTTGGATGAGGATGTCGGTGTGCCACACATCCTTTCATGCAAATATGACTTTGTCTCGCTGTTACCACGAGTCAGCAAATCCATTCAAATCCAAGTTCTTAAATAATTGTTTATTGTTCCGTTCTTTATATAATACGAAAAGACAGGCCCTCTTCTTCAACCGAAAATTCGATCGAAAAAGAAGGTGCGATATATCCTGACAGATTCATTTACTACGACCCATCCTCAAAATCGCATCTTCTTTTTCTCCAAAAATTCGATGAAAATCACCATTACGGACATTGATTTTGGGTTAAGGAAAAAGCCACTGTAGCGGACTCTGTTTTTTTTTTTTGAGGAAATCTTAATATCAATTTATGCTTTTAAAGTTGCCAACTTATAGCTCAAGGCATACTTTAATGAAAAATAGGTTTGGTTTTTCATGACAGGTACTTACTTGCCTAAACCTTCTCTCTTCTCCCCTCTTCCAACTTTGAAGTCGCCGCAAAACAGAAATCCGAAAAATTCCGAATTGACAATGAAGAAGTCACGAGCGCACAATAAAGGAACACACAGATACAAAATATGTGCGACGATTTCCAACAAACTATATTTTTTTAAGGATCGGAAGGGGATTGAAGGCGTGGGAGAAATCATACATTTGCGGGGAGCAGTGCAAATGAGATGAGCGAAAAGCCACCAACTACTGTTATATGAGTCTATACGGTTGTGAGGAGAAAGTTGTATGCACGAGGAAATGATGACGATGCCCGCGAACCATATACACACATCCACCATCCAAACCTATACACAGCTAATTCTCCCTCCTTTTCTCTTTACCCCACTTAGAGGGATACCTGCTTCAAGTCCGTAAAAATTTTGTGAAATTTGGTAAAAAAACCAAAATATGAAAATGATGCATTTTAACACATGTAATGTAAGGAGCCAATGGCAACCTATTAACCGAAAGATTCACCTGTCACTTTTAAAGTTACCGTAAATTATATGAGTGTTGTAATCCAAGATGGAAAAGCACGAATGTTCAAAAATTTACATGAAAGCACACATGAATTGGAAGGCATAGGGGTATTACACAAGTGATTATAAAATGACGTATGATGATGCATCATTCACACCAATATCGCTATCACCCACTCATCTATAAAAATTAAAACGATTTCAAGCACTTGGCTTTACAGTTAACTTCCTTAAATTCAAACAGTGGTAGCTACTTGCATAACATCCATAATGACCAATGACTAACCGCTTCATACTGTACTAACTACTAATCACAGAGAAATGAATTTTCATTTATGCTAAATAATTTAAATTAATATGCTGCAGTATCAACATAGAATATAATCAGTTCAGAAAAATCAAAGGCTACTTCAAATAATGTAACAAAACTTGTAGCCTATTAAATGGGAAATTTTAACCAATAGTTTCGGATAATTTTTTGCCTTACACAAGTAAAACAGCATTCATCTCAAATCACAAAAAAACTTCTTTTTTCATTTTTGCAATTATGTGCAAATGCTAGAAATTTAAATCTATAAAGTTTGTTCCAAAGGGCTCCATTGCATGATCTGATGCCACCACCAAAAAATTTTCATACTTAATGATTGGAATGACAGTTACGATAATTCAGCTAATTCCTATTAGTTGAGAAATAAATTAAAGTTAGAAAGGACGTGGGCAGGTTATATGCAAATAATAAATGCTTAATAAGAGGCTTCGAGTATGTACAAAAATATGTTAATAATGAACGACCCGTACCAATCTTTACAACGTAAAAGGATAAGAAATGAGTGAAATTTATTATGATCACAATCTCAATAATGGCAAAAAATTACTGAACTGAGCAAACTTGGGTCAACTCATTAAATAGATAGACAAATATTTTTTTAATGTCTCTTAAATTTGAATAAATGAAGGCGGAACACCTAAAAGCAGTTGATCAAACAACACCAATCGCCCTGCAATCTTACTGAAAAATGTCGAATCCCTAATTTCAAATTGGTAAGTGACGGAAGTGTAACACTCTTAAAGAAGTAAAAGTACAAGTTCACTACCAGTATGACGCTACACAAACAATTTCTACGATCACGATCAAAAAATATTCATTTTTTCATGGAATACCTTAATAAGAAGCTCAAGAAGCTCCTGTAAATTTTATATAAGCATACAAAATTCTATTCACAAATCACAACACCAAATCAAACAGGTAAAAAAAGTATCGAACACTATAACAATGGAGATTTCCTTAATTCCTCAAAGATTCATTAACTGACATGTATATTAAATAATCATAACGATAGAAAAACATACCTTTAACTGTAGAGCAGCGTTTGTAAAACCACAACCTCCTGATTACAGAAAACCCTGAAAATAAAGCAGGAAATACAAAAAGCAAAAAGTTACACAACAAAAGTGCTAGTTGATTACAGATCCAAGAAAAACCTTTAGTTTAATATCAGAAACAAAAAATATTGCAGTAAATTAAGAGCTAATATAGTGCGTATTGCAACGGTGGAAAAAGAATTGGATTAAAACAAGCTTGGAAATCAGTCGCTGACGAATTACAATCTACCGATAGTAAATGTGTTGTAAAAAATGGCCTGAATAAGACAAAAAGATATTTGCTTTGTCGCTTTCTAGGCATGTATTTCATAAAGCGAAAAGACAATGCCACAAGTCATCTACCAAAGTAGTGTAACGACTGACAAGCGATTCTGGCAGCGAATTCTGCCTATCAATGTAATGCAAAAGAGATACATCATTGTGAAGGTCATTGAATTGATCAAATCAAACTGCTTAAAATTAACTAATTGGGATATGAGAAAATTAGAAAAAGGAGTGACGAAACAAATAGAATAGAAGGAGGATTATCTAATTAGTTGTGGGACATCTCTGGTATGATACCACTGTTCGACTGCAAATGATAACACAAGGAAACTTCAACTTACCATCAAGATGAAGAGAACTTGATGATTCAACTCGATCTTCCAGATATGAACATACGAACTACAGTCTTAATGTCGTGTTCAGCTCACACCTGAAATGCATGAAAAACAAGCAGAAAAAGTCATTTGATAAATATGAGATAATTTGTTTGTCCTCATCGATGTTTATTGTAGTCATATTCACTGTACTCTTGGCTTACTGGGCATTACTGTCAATATAATCCAAATGATTAACGAGCTAACTTCGACTTTTCTTCAGATCGGGCTCAATGAAAATATTTTTCCACATTATTAATTGCTACACGAAATACACTGCTGAAGCATAGCTTCTTATTGACGATATGCTGATAAAATACTGAAGTCATGAAAGGGAACTAACTGTACGTATTTACGTCATCGTTTTTTATCGAGTACAAAAGTAGTTCACCAAGGTATAAAACACATGTGAACATGTAAGATGCATGCAAATAGCTCTCCGCGCACATTCATCCGTACAACTAACGCATACGCAAAACGTCGAGAACCACGAACGTAATCAATTAATAAAAGAGAACAAGAAAGAACAGCAAAATTCACATCTGATAAATGGTATAACCAATGAAGATTACGACACGTAAGCTTATCTTAATACCACAGATGCTTCCTGACGATCACAATTTCACGTAGAGATATGACGCAGACGTGCGTTGGTGACTACGTGCTCGAAGGGAGAGCGGTAGCGGTGAAATGACCCGGAGAGAGGGAAGAAAGTGAAAAGGAGGATGGACATCACACAGCTTCATGCTTGCAAAAAAAAGACATAAGGGAAAGTTGAGATAGTACAGGACGGAGAGAGACGAGGGGAAGCTATGCATATGTTGTCTATATGTTTGTATATCTGTGAATGTGTGTCAGAGATGGAAAAGAGCCAAAATAGTTGGGTAGCAGCCAGTAATGTTTTAAGAATATTTGAAAACGAGGGAAGCTTAATTATAGTCTAGGCTGTCGCTGAAGTTGGTTGTTTTGCAGTGATGTCATCGAAATGAAGGAGTGTTTGTGGACATGGATTATTTTAGAAGCAGTACGCTCCAGTTACAGATGCATCACATGTACAAGATTTTATTATCCATTCATCGCTATCATGGAATTTCTTGGGCTTATCAATAGGAGCAACTGGACGATACCTCTGCTCACCGTATTCACTGATCCAACCATCTAAGTTACTTTCATCGCAAGAATTCTGCTACACATATCCACCACTCGTCAAAAAAACTGAATCATTTACAGTGATATTAGATCGAAAATTATTTCTGATTTAAAAGTATATATTAAATGAACTTGATTATTAATGGTTTTGGAGTATCCCAAGAGGTTCCTCTGCTTATGAGAAGGAAGAGTGTTTTGTTATTAACTTTGAAATGTACACATCACATCATACGCGTGAAATTAAGTTTGTCATGTTGCATCATATCACTCGAATTCATGATTGGAACGAATTCTTCATTAGTGTTGAGACGATTTGGGTAGCTTATTTAGCGGTACGTTTGTTTTAATACATAATAAGCTGGTATGAACAAACGAAAAAGAACCGTAAAGTTGGTGATCGTCCTTTTTCAACATAGCACTTATTTGATCTTCCTGAAGTGGAGCTTTTTTTCGGTAATAACTTTGTTGATTATCTTATCAGAAAAGAGCTCTATCAAACGTAACCTTATAGCCTGCTAAAATGTTAAATTATCATTTGATGGAAGCCGCATGATACTGCCGATAACAGTTCGTTGAAATGGAACAAGGGCTAAAGAAATCCTCGGAACCTATGTACCCTTATTAAATCATCATTATAACCCTTTCTCTACCCCTATATCAAAACTTATAGGGAGAAATTTTGAGGATTTTTCTTTTATCTTATTCTTTCTGATTTTTTCCTTATTCGAAATGAGTTCACTTTAGTTTTTGGGGAAGCTCATTTCCAGTATTTTCCGATATTTTGTTCATCTGTTTCAGCGATCCGCCCTGCTATTTTTTTGTATCTCTTCAATTCTAAGCTAAACAGATGAATTATGAACTCCTCGTATCATTGATTAATTATAGAAAGTGACACTGTTCGTATAATGAACTACTTTATTTAAAACCTCTGTTGATCTTTGATCGTGAGATGAAAAGTAGAACTGGACAATATTTGTACCTAGCAGGTATAACAACGGCTTGTATGCTTCGTTTGCATAAACTCTTTACAGAGACACTTCCCTCTTGTTACTCACTATTCCAACTTCCATTAGTCTTTCTACCTCAAATCCCTTTCCATCACTTATTTCACTTCTGTTATTCATTTTCACAAATACCAATTTTTTTAATGCATTTAATTTTCCAAAAACTTCCTTCGATATAGTGACCGCTTCTCATCCTAAACAATTTCCTTTTCCGGTTGCTAAACTAAATAAACTTTCCCTAGAATTTTTCGCCGGCAATGTATCCTAACCCGCTTCAACACTACTTTACCTGTTCTCATATCTTCGATAATATGTCCATCAAAAATCATATGAATTGGAATTAATTTAAGTAATATTGTATTAAAAGCTGCAAACTCTTCTGTTCCTTTTTTTATAGTGACCATAATTGAAAACATTTTTCTTGAGATTATCCTCCTCGTTAATATCCATCTCACTGTTGTTTTAATCTATTCATCTTTCTTTCCCAAAAAAGAAAATTTGGGAAATTTCCAATGGAAACTTCTATTTGACTGTTTATCCGATAAATAATTCAAGCAAAATTTAATTTTAGGTACTGGATGAAGAAATGATTCATCAAGCGTAGTAATTTTAATCTTTTGAAAATCTATCTGACCGCTTTAAATACTTGCCAATTAAAACTAAATTAGTTGTGCTAACATTTCGTTACTGTTTGTGGCAATAAGAAAACAGCCTGTATTTCCATTCTTCATGCTCAGATAAATAAGAAATTACTGCATTTGTATTAGAGATTAATGATTAAGAAGATTTAATACTTTTAAATGTTTTAGTAGTCAAGTAGTATAGTCTATTTGATAAATTAAAAATATCGTTTTGACAATGCGTCCTCTAAATGCCATATGCTACCTTAAGATATAGTGATTAGATTTAAGGCAATAATTGATAAACGATAAAAAAAATTAGCCTATTATTTGCGTAATTGTTCTTCCATGCCGATAACGAAACAATATTGTGTGTATGTGTGGGGGAGAAAAATCAGTTGAAAATTATTTAAACAATTTGTTTAATCGAGCAGAAAGAAAACAATCATCTTATCTGGCAAGAGGGATAGGCTTTAGATTTTCTTATCGTTCTTTTTACCATCCATAATAAAAGAATTTTAAAAAGTAACATTTACCAAGAGGCTCAATATAAATTTCTCTTTCTAATGTTGAAGTTGAAAGAAAAAATTGTATCAATTTCTATATTTTTGAATCTTTCGAAATTTAGTATTTCTCATTAAGGACACTAAATTTCTTCTCCTTTATTTATACTATAATTTTTTGATAACATAATTCATTTATGCAGTTTTTTCCCTTTCTTTATTAGAACAAAATTTTAAACCCATTGACTGTTGAAAAAACAAAAATTGACCCATTGGCAGTTAACCAAATTTTATTAGCTGTAACTATGTTAGATTAAATGAAATAGTTTAAGATTGATAGATCCTTGTACATCTGATCTTTTTTAGCAGCATATAGCATGCAAATGAGGAAAAATGTTATATTAGATGACCGTACACTCTTCTTCAGTTCATTTCCAATAATTTTCATTCATCACAAATCCATTTGTTTATCCATATTTTCTCATTTTTGCCTATACAAAAAATTGATATTGTAATTTATGTCGTGATTAACATAACAGAAACTAATGTGTACATTTCGTTAGTCACTGATACATGAATAATAACTTTTTATGTTCCTATTATTTTCCGAAACTCAGTGAATAATTGTTTTAGTTAGGAATTGTATAAGTGAGATAATAGATGTACCTGTAAATTATAAACGAAACACTTTTCCGATTGCTATCATTCAAAAATAAATTTCTTAGTTGTTTTTTATATCTCTTCGTAAGGCATCGTTTGTTAACAGCACAAACTTTTAGAAGGAATCCATCTTGCATGAATCAGACATCTTTCTTTTCCCAATATAATTTAGGTAACATTTTATAATGGAATGTTATTGTTGAAGGGAAGCACAGCCAATCCCTTAGAAGGGACATTTTTCCCTATTTCACTTCTTGAAAATTGCGATATGATTTTTGTATTTTCGAATTTCAATTTGAAATCCTTTAACATATTAGCCCATCTCTTTCATTCTTAAAAAAAAATGAGAGGCTAATTGAAAATACAACTAATTGAAAAATAACTATTGCTAATTTATGGGTAGAATGTAAGACAGATGGATCGAGTATGGTAATAGTTGATTTACAGAAGAGGACAAAAAAATTAACCACACAATTCAAATAGTCTAAATAAATTATATAATTGGTGCAGATGTTTTAACCCAAGATTTTTCTCTGTTTTTTTCTTTTTTAACCAATTACATTATGTTTCATATTAGTTTCAGCCCTCTTAAAAAGTTTATTTTTATCCAATTTTGCAGACAAAACATAAGATCGATGAATTTATTCGAAAGTCAGATAATCGTAATTCATAATACAGCTAATATCACAAATACCTAATAATAGAGAATAAGAAAGAATTTGTGAAATTATTCGAAAAAAGATAGAAGTATCATTAGTTTCAGGAATTCAAGATAGATGTAAGATCGACAAACTTCCAAATGATGACACTACCAGAGTCTTAGAAAATCCCTCATTATTCGAGTTCAAATGATAATATTCTACAATTCTGGAAAAATTGTTACTATTGGTTTTTTTCTCTGTTTTGAATTAGATAGCGGAATTCCTGACAACATACATTGCTTTTTCGTGGATGCATGTCTAATTGCAGGCACAAATGTTTCAACTGAGTGTTAATGCATATTCATGATGACAATATATTTGGTGCTGATGATGCTACTGCATCGTTATCACTTTGATAGGTCCATTCATCAATGTTACTTTGATTCTTAAGAGGTCTGTAATTTTGAAATGAAATCCACCGATGGCTGCTAACTGAAAGTAGAATTTCAATGTGTTAAAAATTAAAACCATTAATTCATTTTCGCTGTTTGCAAAAGTTGGCTGAATATGTTTACTACGATCTAATAGTATTTTCACTATTTGTTAAAGAACAAACAATAGTGAAAACATTGATTTAGAATAAAGGTTAGAAGATGATCTTAGACATGATTCACCTTACACATGTATGCTACCTTCACTCAAGAATTTCAAATGATGGCAGATTTCGATATAGGATATAACAATTATCAACTTGAAGTTCCAATCTAACTGAAGAAACACGACTGGTGAAAAATGAAGGCAGGTAAGTAAAAAGGTAACTAATGACCCAACTAATGAATGGAATGATTTGACAATTAGTAGAGTGAAGCAGCTTCTGGAAATTTAATTATATCAACTTTTTAAATATAAGTGTAACTGTGCACTCATGCCTTGTGACAATATATGTTGTACTAAAAATTTACTAAATGACCATGTGCCAATAAAAATGCATTCCAAGTTTTTAAATATTTTAGCAATAAAACAAATTGATAAAAAGTACCCATATGCTTTTAATTACTTATAAAAATTAAGGAAGAACATCTCAAATAAATCCTAAAAAATTATGCTCTGATGAAAGAACTGTTTCAGTGGAAAATTCCTTCTACAAACTATTATATCTATTTCTTTTAAAGAAATTTCAATTCCTTTATAGTTAAAATAAATTTTAAGAAGAAATGCCTATATGAGGGAACATACATCGTCAATGTTATCATTCTGGAAATTAATCATTATTTTGAAAGACCACTTATCATATATTCTAATATCTACCCGACTAGTTGCATAGGTTTCAGTTAATCATAAAAGATTTTAACTGTGTTCGATTTATTTTTAATTAAATTCAATTTATTTACATATAGAGTATAAAATTTGATATATTGGTTAATTATTTTGTTCCATTCAAATCATAGAAATATTAGAAAACAAATCATAATAATAATAATATGCAATTTCCTTCTTTTAACTCCAACGAAATGGTTTGTGATTTATTCTTATTCTCATTTTTTTTAAACATACAATCGGTGATACATTTAATAGGTGCAGCGCG